GTTTAATTACATTTGAAATATTAAAACATATACACCTACATTCATTGTAATTACTCCCACGTTTTCTGTTCAGTTTGCCTAATGGAATTCCTTTCAAAAACTTACAGAAGAAACAATATTCTAAAAGAATTAAATGTGGAATCCACTGACCGTTTGAGCAAATTGTTACAGACTAAACGAACAATTTGCATAAGCAATAACATACCGGATTTGATGAGCATTAAAACAATCAGTATGGATAAATTCAACCATAATCTCATTTCACTTGATAGGTTTGAAAAACAAACATGATAACATGTTTTTTTTTAAAAAATAAGTACATTTGTGTTCGTCACAAAACCATTTCTGTATGCATCACCTTCCTCTAAACATTCACTCATTACATGGCCATCCTTAGATACTATTGTTTCAAATTAAGAGATCGTGACATTTATAAAACAATTCACTTCTTATCTTTAGCGAGTATGGTCAGGATAAATTTATCGACCTATATGTCAATATGTTACACAAACAATTAAATTATCAAGTTCTATTGGTAAACAAAAATTACACAACTCATGTGATTTGCTCTCAGAGTGGACCGTACTAGGTGAAGTATAGAAAAGATTGCATCGAAATGAATACCACTTCAACTATCAGATCCAATTAGTAGCTTGATGATTTATTGTTTGAATATGATCTAAATGCTCACCAATACCTCCTCAAATTCTAAATATCGATGGTCTTCTGTTTACAGATTCTGAACTCGTGACAACCATTTCCATACATCCGAGAGGCAATATATATATCTATTATGAAAAAGTAAGTTGCACAATTTAGTGAGAATGTATTATTGTTCAAAGTGCTTTAGATTATTCTCTTATTTCGTGCACATCAATAGTGTCGAGTGCATCAAGATACATTGAACACGATGGAAGGACACCAAAATTCTTCAACATACACACATACTATATGACAATATTAATAACCCCTAATGACACACCGTATTATAGTATACTTTTTAAAACGGTGAATTATAGGTAGTGAAATGTTATCAATAGAATTTGTGATGTCTTCGCGCCGATTGAGGACAAACAGTGTATGTTGGAGCTCTCTACAGGAAAAGTGGTATTCAGTCTTGCTCTACAACGTCTTCTGAAGTTCAGCTGTTTAAAGAGTCCACTGTTACATATTATGAGAGATTTATTGTTAACATGTTGATCGTTTATCAACGTGCGCTTGTTTGAATGTCAGTATTCAGTACTTTGTTCATTTGGAATACAATAGATGTCGGATAACTAGAAGAGTAAGGTGAGATGAAATAGTTCATGTTTGTTGTAGTGAATAGGTTTTGATTGTTTCGAGGTAATCTGTACAAATCGTGGAAAAAATTCTCTTCGGAAATGAACGGCGATGAATAGAAGTGGGCACATCAACACAATTCCACAACATGACAACAAATTCACGTGCACCAAAATTTCAGTTATTCACAATCACATTTCTATCAACGGAGGTAGTTATTCATCTCACAATCTATCGCCTCATTCTGGGATAAATTGATAGATAGAAAGATAGATTGATCTTTCATTCTATTTCACTGAAGTTGACAACAAATGTGATTCGGAATATATCTGTAGACTAGATGGAGCATAGTTCCGAAGGAATTGAAGAGATCAGTATGCTTACGATGAGATTTGTTGTGCTTGTATACGATTATGCTATTGACGACACATTGCTTGAATCATTCGTTTGCTTTGTTATAAGTGGTTTTATATTGACAGATGTTGACTCAAACGTCTATTACTTCTCAACAGATTCCTGATGGATTTGATAGAAATCAGATTTTGTTGGAAATCGAAGGTAGAATTCAATGTGACGAAGAAAGCGAAGGTATTAAATGTTATTTATACTCTGATTTTTATTGATCCACATGGACAATCACCTGTTAGCATTTGTTCCTTTCTATTTATACCCTATTATCAGTATTTCAACACAGGAATTTGCTTAAGTCTATCAGCGTGATCAAATATTTCTTTTTTACAGTCTACGTTAATCAGTTGTTCAGTGTATGAAATAACTTGATCTAGGTGTCATTGAAGTGTTGATGAGAATAGTGCGAAATAAGATCGAAATGCATTTCTAAAACTCACTGTCCAAATGTGAATGTTAATTGAAAATTCAATATCCTTTAAGTGTTTACATATTTTGAAAAATAAACCAGTGGATCGTGTAAAAAAGGTTAACCATATAACAATTAGAATAAACACGGGGCTCACCAGTTAATTGTCGTTATTCAAATGGAAGTTATAGTTGTTTAATTAAATTTTCAATTGTCATGCTATATTGGCTTGATCGTACGTTGTTGAAAGATGTTGCTAAGTTTTTAAATAGGCATAAGGTGTACGCAATTAGGCTGGAATTTCAGAAGATGCAGTGAATATTTGGTAAAAGTGTACATGATCATTGGTTCAAATGCATTCCTGAGTCTTTTCACAACAAATTTCAATGTTGACTATTAGTGAAGTAATTTATGACAAGTTAAAGATATTTCTTCCAAAGATGTGATACCCTTGTAAAATAAATCAGAATATTAACGATATCATTTTTGATTTACTGGTTGGATATTGATTATTTTCGGAATCAAATGTGATGTCAAACATATTTTGTGAGAATGTGGTTTGATCGCTATTGTAACTATCTGTAATCACATATTAAACAGTTTCTTATATTGAACACGCATTAAATGAGAAAATAACTTGTTATACATAAACTTTTATGTGACTTCTGTTGTACATTTTATTAAACTAGATATAAGAAAAGCTCTAATGTATGTTCACGGAAATTTGATCAAAAGTCACACGACAGTGAATTATATAGTTATGGATTATTAATATGAATAAAAAGATGAATGTGAATATCATAGTTTAAATAATAATTGATGTGATTTTGTTCATTAAAATAAATATACTTGATTATTTTCATTTGATAAAAAACTGACTCGTTTTACAATAGTTTACAAACATTCCACTTGTGAATAATCAGTATTGTGTACTTGTGATTATGTGACATTTACAATCAACAATACATCCATTGTGATTGTTCAGTTTGGTGAAATTTCATTTTACTGGATAATATCAATTGAAATCGACATCGTTCATTGTTCAGATGTGTACTGTTGAAATACCGCTTCAACATCTCATTCATTCGTTAGTTGATTATTCGCTGTATAAGGAAAGCTGAATGACAGATCCTTGTTAATTAGGTGTTATGAATGCTGATTATGAAATAATTCTAAACAGCTCAAGAGATAGGGAAATACGAATGGGAAAAAGTGTAGATTAAATGAATTAGTAATAGTCTTGCCGTAGCATTGCTAAGTAGGATGACAGGTTTGTAAAACATACACAATGCAGTGTTCGTGTCAACGGTTGATCACTTCATTGTACAATATTTGGTTAATATAAGGTTCTATTCTCATGAAAATAAGAAGAAGAATTCTACAAACATTCATATGCATTGGTTGTTCGATTGTTCTCATTGATGTTAAGAACTGCAAACTGATCAGTCATTTCATGTTATATGTGCATGGTGTGCGAGTTACCTCGATATTACCATTAGGTCACAAATAATATAAGCGAAGATGGATGGTGGCCAGCAATCCCATTTGAGACTCGTCAGCTGGCTGTACCTGAAGCAAACACATGCCACAAGACTGGATATATTCCTAGCCAAATCAATTGTTCTAGTGTTCAGTGCAGCTGATTTTAAGGACGTCTAAGCTCAGATTACTTCGGATAAACTTTCATCATAGCTAACAACGATCACCACTATTTGTGGACTTTGCAAATAAAACTAACTTATATTCGGTTTAAGCTGTTCCCCAGTCATATTTCATGAAGTGATAAATGATGTAGTCAGTGATCTTAAAATTGTTCACGTTTGTCCAGTTGATCCCAATTCTAATGTTTCTGATGAAATATCTCGTGACCAGTGGACTTACTACTTTCTTACGTCGTCTCTTCAAATAAAATTTCACTTTATGTATCTGGTTTTGGATTTCTTCTATAACAGACTGACGCTAATGATTTATTATTAGTGTTAAGTTTATCAAAGCGTCCAAGTCACTCAATTAAGATACGCGCAATATCCAAGTTCACAAAACAACGATTTGTCAGAAATAGCGGTTCTATTTTGAATAATATACAAATTTTATTTACAAACTTCAACTATTCAGGTGCCTGTGGCGCTTAACACGTCGTTTTGTATGAAATGAATGGGCTTCCCTTAACAGTTACATAAAGAATAATTCCAACATACGATAGTACAAAAGGCAGCAGATAGCAGTGTCTAAACTTGAAAACAGTTTACCAACAAGCAAAATCCGAACATACAGCAAACAATATGGAAACCCTTGCGTCTAAACAAACGTTAGACAAATGCGAAAATTGCGGATAACTCTTACAGTGATTGAGATAAAGTAGTTCTAATGATAAATACAATAAATGTCATGAGTACATGTAAATATTTCAGGATATTACACGACAAACTTGCGTTACAGCAGAAGGGTAGAAATCGCTAAGAATATAACAATTTACTGAATAGTTTTAAGTAGTATAAAACAATACACAAAAGAGTCGAAGGGAAGTGAATAAGTATAGAGAATGTCAAACAGACTGAACAACCACATATGAGGCGACAAGCTCAACTTATAGACTCATCATTTCAAGAAACTCACGAAACTGTGCTCGCCGGCAAGTCCTCTTTATTACTGTACGCTTTTTACTTCCGATTATCTTTATCGTGCAGACGTTCTACTTCGATGCTTGAGATATATATTATGGACTATCAGAACAGTTTGAAATGCTCATCCGAAACGTAGATTTCCTGTTTATTTTGCCAACTGATCGATTACTCCATAGTGTTCAAAGTCATATTTTTGTGGTTCGTTAGTGTCGACTGAATTTTGTCGATACAGCTGAAATGCAGCTACTAGTTAAACTGACGCAACTACAAGTAAACGGTCAGAAAAACATAATATTGGTCAATATTAACTGATCAGTTAAGTTTGAAATGATCCAATTGGTTTTTTCGGTTACCTGTCCCAGCACATGCACCAACGATGCAGCAAAATAGAAATTCGCATTTCCGGTACCCAATCGCAACCAGATATAATGAAATAATGGACTAAGAATCAATGCAGTCAACAAGCAACACGACGAAATAAACATCATTCGAGTTTCTGTACAAGAAAAAGACAGTAAACAAAGAGGAAGAAGGTGATGAAAACAGAGAATGGCAAATGTGTCTGAAGATAATGCAAGTTGAAATGTTAGTTGTTCGTCAGAGGGAAACCCTATTTATCTAGGTCTCCTGTCAGTTGGAGCTCATTAATAGGATGTATCTGAGGGATTCAAATCCGCGTTTCGCACATCTAGAACATTGTCTTCTAATACTGCCTTCAATCACATAGCTCCGGCGCGTCGGTCGTGGGAAACAGTTTATCTACCCAGCTGTAACCTTTGACAACAGACGTCTAGGTGCACCGATATAGCAAAAGAGGGTGAGACAACTGGATGTAGTTACTTACTTACTTACGCCTGTTACTCCTCGTGAAGGAGCATAGGCCGCTCACCAGCATTCTCCATCCAACCCTGTCCTGGGCTATCCTTTCAAGCTCTTTCCAGTTCTTATTCACCCTTTTCATATCTGCTTCTATTTCCCGACGTAATGTGTTCTTTGGCCTTCCTCTTTTCCGCTTTCCTTCAGGATTCCAAGTTAGCGCTTGTCTCGTAATGCAGTTTGATGATTTCTTCAATGTATGTCCTATCCATTTCCATCGTCTTTTCCTAATTTCCTTTTCAGCTGGAAGCTGGTTGGTTCTCTCCCACAAAAGGCTGTTGCTGATAGTATTCGGCCAATGAATGTTGAGTATCATGCGTAGACAGCTATTGATAAATACCTGTAGCTTCTTGATGGTGGTTGTTGTAGTTCTCCAAGTTTCAGCTCCGTACAGTAGAACTGCCTTGACGTTGGTATTGTAGATTCTGATTTTGATATTGGTTGAAAGTTGTTTTGAGTTCCATATGTTCTTCAGTTGAAGGACTGCCGCTCTAGCTTTGCCAATCCTCGCCTTGACGTATGCATCTGAACCTCCTTGGTAATCGACGATGCTTCCCAGGTATGTGAAGGATTCCACGTCTTCCAGAGTTTCGCCATCAAGAGTGATTGGATTGCTGTTCTCCGTGTTGTGTTTGAGGACCTTGGTTTTCCCTTTGTGTATGTTGAGGCCTACTGATGCAGAGACTGCTGCTACTCTGGCTGTCTTTATCTGAATTTGTTCGTGTGAATGTGATAGGAGGCCTAGGTCATCTGCGAAGTCCAAGTCTTCTAATTGGTTCTGAGCTGTCCATCGTATGCCGTGTTTTTCCTCAGATGTCGAGGTCTTCATAATCCAGTCGACCACCAGGAGAAACAGGAAGGGAGAGAGTAGACAGCCTTGTCTTACTCCGGTCCTTACATGGAATGCCTCAGTCAGCTGTCCTCCATGCACTACTTTGCACTGTAGTCCGTCGTATGAGTTCCGGATAATGTTGACAATCTTCTCAGGAACTCCGTAGTGTCGAAGAAGTTTCCATAACGTTCTCCTATCTACACTGTCAAATGCCTTCTCATAATCATTGAAGTTGATGTAGAGTGACGAGTTACACTCAATTGATTGTTCGACGATGATCCGTAGTGCCGCAATCTGGTCTGTGCACGACCGGTCCTTACGGAATCCAGCTTGTTGATCTCAAAGTTGAGCGTCTACTGCGTCTTTCATCCTGTTCAGTAACACTCTGTTGAAGACTTCACCTGGTATTGACAGTAGTGTAATGCCTCTGTAGTTTTCACACTTGCTCAGATCTCCTTTCTTTGGAATCTTGATGAGGTGTCCTTCTTTCCAATCCATCGGCACTTGTTCCTTCTCCCAAATCTTCTTGAATAGAAGATGATGCATGCTTGTAGTTACTTCGATGTCTGACTTCAACGCTTCAGCGGGTATATTGTCAGGTCCTGCTGCTTTCCCGCACTTGATTCGTCTGATGGCCATTCTGATTTCTTCGGTCGTTGGTGGATTGACATCTATAGGAAGATCTGTGTGTGCTGCTTCGATGTCCGGTGGATTCATTGGAGCCGGCCTGTTCAGGAGTTCCTCGAAGTACTCTGCCCATCTGTTCCGCTGTTGTTGAATCTCAGTGGTTGGTCTTCTTTCTTTGTCTGGTCTCTCTGGTTTACTGTATTTCCCTGCAAGCTTCTTCGTCGTATCGTAGAGCTGTCTCATATTTCCTTGTCTTGCAGCTTTTTCCGCCGTCATTGCTAGTTCTTCCACGTATTTTTGCTTATCAGCTCTAATGCTCTTCTTCACTTTCTTGTTTGCTTCTATGTACTCTCCTTGTGCTTGGACTTTCTCTGCTCTTGTTCGACTGTTGTTAATTGCTGTCTTCTTGTTCTTTCTTTCTTTGATCCTGTCCAGTGTTTCTGTAGAGATCCATTCCTTGTGATGACGCTTCTTGGGGCCCAGAACCTCTTGACACGTTGAAGTTAATGTTTCTTTGATACCTTTCCAGCTATCCTCCATAGTAGTTTCTTCTTCCTTCAGTAGATCCTGTAAGGCTTGGAACCTGTTGTTGAAAGCTACCTTGAATTCATTGAGTTTGTCAGTATCTCGAAGGAAGGCTGTATTGAATCTTTGTGGTGCTGTTTGTCCAGTTGTCCAGTTCTTCTTTAGCTTCAGTTTCAATTTGGTCACAACCAGGTGGTGATCTGAAGCTATATCCGCTCCTCTCCTGGTTTTTACATCTTCCATTGTCCTTCGGAACTTTTTATTGATGCAAATATGATCTATCTGGTTCTCTGTGGTGTGGTCCGGTGAGATCCATGTAGCTTTGTGTATACGTTTGTGTGGAAATGTTGTACCGCCTATGACCAAATTATTGAATGCACACAGATTTGCAAATCGTTCCCCGTTTTCGTTTCTCTCTCCCAGTCCATGTAGTCCCATGGTGTCTTCATATCTGGTGTTGTCCATTCCGACTTTGGCGTTTAGATCTCCCATCAGAATGGTGAGGTCTTTCTTTGAACACTTCTCTATGATTGATTGCAGCCTCTCATAGAATTGATCCTTAACGTCGTCGTTGCTATCATTGATGGGTGCATAACATTGGATAATGTTCATTGTGATTTCCTCCTTCTTTGTTTTGAATGATGCTTTGATGATTCTGGATCCGTGAGATTCCCATCCTACAAGTGCATTTTGTGCTACATTTGACAGCATTTGAGCAACTCCCTGAGTGTAGGGAGCATTTTCCTCTTCGTGACCGGAGTATAGCAGCATCTCTTCCGTATTAAGCTTTTGTTGTCCAGCTTGAGTCCAATGGGTTTCACTGATTTCCAGCACTGCCATGTTGTATCTCCTCATTTCCGTTGCTATTTGACTGGTCTTCCCGGTCTCCCACATTGTCCGGACGTTCCATGTACCTATAAAAATTGTTGTTCTGGTTGTTAGAAGGGGCATCGGCCTCGTGGCTTCCGAAGGAACTCGGCTTTCACCATGAAGCGTCATATTACCTCTAACTCCCAGGGCAGGGTTTAAATGGTTTGAGTTGTTTTTTCTGGTTAGCGTTTTTTTAGCGAGTAAGTTTTCTACGGGATGGGGACGCTAACCCCATGCCCAACCCTCCTTCTTTACCCGGGCTTGGGTAGGCAGTAGCCCCCCGAAGGGGACTACAGGCGGAGTTAACTGGATGTAGTGTTTTGCATATATTCAGCTTGTGATTATATAGTAAACAATTGCTGGATCCTTAAGTTTTACTATTTTGTTCGTTTCTTACAGAATAATTTAGTTGGATTGGGAAAACGTTCGGCATATCATTTTTATTGTATTGAGTGGCAAAAGCCTTAATTTCTATACTAACCATTTTGCTACCTTTAAATAACAGTCGAAACACATAACACTCAGTCCGCTAGTTTTGTTATTAGATTTTCCTGAACACAATCATTCGGGGTTTTAAATACTTCAACTAACTTAACATGAAGCATTTCGTCATGAGTCATGTACTCTAATGGTGTGATAGAAGAGTTGGCAGTTGTTTTCAGATATTGATCAGTGTTCGAAAATGGTTCACTGCCTTCCAATGTTGACATTTGATCCAGTTGCTGAGATATTAATAACTATCGATCTATTCAGGTTTATGAGACGATGAACTATTAGTGATGGATTCAAATAGACCGTTTCATTCGTGAAAAGTAAGGAAGTAGCACTAGTCAGTATCGCATTTTCATCAGCTACAGACTTCATGAATTTTTCTCTAGTCGACAAACGAGTATAACATAACAGTAAGCATAAATCTAGCTTAATATTCGGTTTTCTATTTACACAAATGGATTAATCAATGTCAATCATCGAACTGTTACTACCACTATATGGGGGGAGGATCAAGAAAGAAAGAGCCGTAACACAATAGAATTTGTATGAAAACGCATAAACAATGAAATCTGAGACAATGGATTGATGTTTGCAACAGGAACCGGTCAGTTTGATACGATGGATTGATAATTTGAAAATAAACGATTTACAATATGATTTTTCTATTTTACCAATTAACCCTGTAATTTAGGCTAAATACAATTCGGTTGTCCTCACCTGTGTTCTTCTTCACTAAACTAGCATTTTCAAAAGTTCTCTTAATTTCAGCGAGCTGGTGGTACATGGTTTATAGGGTATGTATCAAGAGGCTGGCTTAATGTCCACTAAGGCAAAGTCACTAAAGAATGAGAATTATTAGGTTCTATCGTTACTCTCTTCCTTCGCCTAATGCATCGCAAGTATGTGGCATCTCATCAAACATCTGACACTTTCATGTTTAACTTTTGAGAAGGCCACGGCCTGTAACAGGCATGATGACGCCATAGGAAGTGTTGTTGAACCTTTTCTACATGATGTACACATTCCTTCGACCCTTCATAACATTAGAGTCTTAGTTGAGGATTTAGAATCTACAAAATGAAATCTCTTGTTAAGCACTTCACAAGTGAATGACAAATGACGAACTAACGTCGTCCATAATAGCCCTATTTTCAGTCTTATGATAATCCTCATTAAATTAATTTTTCTTAATAAATGAATCCATATTATCACAGCCGGTCAAATTTATATTAACATTTAGAATGTATCTGGTGTCCGCTTAATTAGACTGTCCTTTTACGAACTTCGTCAAGTCACTAAATAAAGCGTTTTAAGCCACCCTAAATAGTTTCACAAGCTACTCTTTTCCATACCCATTGCATTTCCACAGAGTATTTAAGAATTAGGTCTTCAATAGTCCTTGAATACTTTGAATCTGAAATGTAACTCATCTCATTGAGAATCAACTCAAAGATTGTCATCTCTAAAGATAACTATTTGTCAAAATCTTCTGATTAGTTCCCTCTGACATTAGAAAATTTAACAATCGGCTAGGTTATATATTTGTTCAACTTCTCTGGCTAAACATTCTGGCCGTTTCACTTTAGTCTGTTTTCGGCTTTAACAAGGTGGTGAGATAGGTGTGATGTTAAGCTTTGTTTCGTTACTACATTTGATATTTTAACCGAACTTTGATTTGGACAATTTCATTACCCATACATACTTTGAAATTCCTGACAAAATTGTCAGTGAAGCATAGGATTATCAGCAACACTTGTTGATTATTCTTTATTGAAAATAGAACATTTTCGATATCATATTCTCCTTTTATCAAATATGGTTGAGTAAAAGCTTCTCTCAAATGGTGATGCAATTTTTCCATTACAAATTTTTACATTATATTCCTTTCGAGTTACCATTCACTGTATGACTTTGTAGGATGAGGTGACAGCTTTGGAATTTCATCAACATTACAATATTTCTTAGAAGTAATCTTAGTTACACATATGTTGTCTACTCAATAAGAATAAATTATTATTCGAAGCTATGTAGAACAGTATTTATCGACGAATACAGTTTTCTTGCTGATATAGTCTACTCAATATGACTATGGACACGCGAAGGCTGTGTTCAGCACTTGTGGAACTTGCTTAGAAAATCTATATTTCGGTGAGTTTATTCCACACATCAGAGATAAAAGACATAAATATGGTAAAATTTGGAGTTATAAATGAGATTTATTTTAGTCTAAATTACACGGAAACCTGTAACACTCATCTACTACATAGTGTAATAAATAACTGGCTGCGCCACACTTGGTGAACATTAAATATGTGAATTTCTGCTTGTATGGAAAACTCACGTTTAAAAAGATGATTCCATATTGGTAGGATAGATATAAGGTGGCCAAGTTCTCCGATATTGTGATATGATTGTAATACTTTCCTTGAGTGAACGCCTAACAATACAACTTGATTGTTCAAATAGTATTCTGATTGATAACTGAATACAACCAGGTGATCTATGGAATACGTTAAACACAACAGAGCAAAGCTGAACAGGAAAGATTAACTTCGGGAGACGATCTATTGCATTTATTTGTGAAGATATCTATGAACACGAGTAGTTGTGTTGATCCTCTACAAAGACGCACGAAAAGCGCCAATGGTATAGGAATCTCATACACCAAAAACCATCAAACAATTCTCCACAACAAAGGACAGGATCACAACGAATTATATGCACTGCTATGAGCCAACCAATAAAAGCAGTGAAGATCATAAACATCAGTTTCATGAGAAGCTGTAGTCGATCGTAGATAAATGCTCAACTACTTTACGTTCACCGAACCACGCTACAGAGAGCCACACTGATCACACTTCACTCAAATAAATGCTCAGAGGATACATGAAAGACACACGAACAAAGGAGGGAGCTGACACAGTTTCAGATCACCACCTGGTTGTGGCCAAGGTGAACTTGAAGCTGAAGCAGTAATAGAAGAAACAGCATTACAAAATCTTGATACAGTCTTACTTTTAGGCACTTACAAACTCAGAAAATTTCAGATCGCTCTCGGCAGTAATTTACAAGCCTCGCACGATCTACTCAAACAGGAAGAAACCACGATGGAGAACAAGTGGAAGGGGATTGAAGATGCCGAGCCGCAATCATCACCAACACAAACAGTGGATATTTGCTGATACACAGAGCAAGGTTCAAGAAACGAGGAACAAGAAGACAGCAATCAACAACAGGCGATCAGGAGCAGAGAAAGGTAGGGCACACATCGAATACACAGAAACTAACAAGGTTGTGAGAAGGAACAATATGTGTAAAACGTGGTAAAGAAAAAGAAACTCAGGACAACTATTTCATAAAGAGAAAACCCTGGAAGGAAAATTTAGTGCAGCCGAATGACCAGTCGAGAACAAACAAGTAATACCGGTCCCTGAGATTCAAGAGCAGTGGTACAGGTTGATACAACATTTTGAAAAGCTCTCGAATAAACCAGTCACACATAACATACTCCACATCAAGGCAGTACAGAAAAACCTTCCTATAAATTTTAACACACCGATTCAGTGTGATCATCAGACAAACCAAGAATAGCAAAACAGAAGGATCGGACAACATACCAGCTGAAGTCGAATAAAGAAGTTCCTGTAAAGATGATTCACCGTGTTGGGAAAGATTTGGGAGGGAGAACAACTACCAACAAACAGGAATGAGGGATACTCTATCAAGTTGCAAAAGAAAGGAGACTTCGTCAAGAGAGAGAACAAAAAAACCAGTACAAAACCATCACTACCAGATCAAGTTTTTAAGCGTTGGTGCACCGAATAAGAGATTTCCATATTCGAGATCAATGTGATGGCTTTAGAAAGAACCAACCATTAACCGACCAAACCTTGACATCATGGATCATTGTTAAACAATTAACAATTATTGGGCAAACTAACTGCAATTAAGATGTCCTAGTACATTTAAGGATGGGAGGACTCCGCTTCTCATCTCGAAAAGCTGTCATATGACCACATGTATAGAGGCATTAACAAAGAAGTCCTACTCACTGCCTTCTCGCAATGAGGGCGTTGTTTGAGAAATTCAGAGAACGAAACGCAGATGTTCAGTGCTCCAACCCAATTGATGGATGGAGTAGATTCATCTAAGGGAGTTGGAAAAAACTTGACTCAAAACCGATGATGTACATAGATTCCTGAATCGTGAAGGAACGAATAGCATAAGAACCTGTACTTGATCATTGGTTGTCAATACAATTAGGTTTTATTTACTAACAAGAAAGCAACGACTGGATTATACGTCGAAGTAGGAAAACTTTTTATAAAATTATAAAAACGAGATACTACATATTCATTGCTATCAGAATTACTGTTATTTCAAAACTAAATATATTCAACCAACTTGAATTTCATTGTCAAGCCAACTACTATACTGAAAATAAGTAGTTGGAAAACCCATGTGAAAAAATCACTGAAATGATCAAACATTTTAACAAACATGTACCAAAAGATACCCATTTGAGGTGTACAATCAGCTACAATGATACTACAAAGAAAGTGGAATATGAGCGAACAATGAATTCACATTATTAATAGCATGATTTAACAAGTAGATAACACAACTCGGTTGAGTCATCATGACAGGCAAGTACGATCACCACGTCACGTTAATAACAACCTATAGTTTCTTGATCTAGATTCATCAATCAGAACACAAGTATTGATCTTTGTAAGATATTTTCACGAAAGAACTCTGTAATTTTGCCCCAAACAATCAGTTGGTTGTCTCCATCTGAGTTCTCGTCCACTCTACAATTACTAACATTCAATGCAGGATAAAAGACATTCAAAAGTCTGCACTGAATTTCACATAAAGAAGTTGAAAACGGAACATTTAGCTGTTGTATGTTGTGTCTGGTACTAAGATGCTTAACAAACCCATAAAATTCCTAGACCCAAGCTCTGAATAGAACATAGAGACCGGAATTATAAAAAGAAGCTGAACATCAAATGTTAGTTTGAGTCACAGAAAACAAGGATATTCACAAGCTTATATGTGTCCTTGATATCCTAGAAGCTACAGGACACATAATAAAATTAACAAAAAGATAGATAATTGTTCAATTAAATTATACAAATCGTTTTCTAAAACTCTCAACGAAGTTTCCATAGAATACTGAAAGCTTAAAATATTTCTACTCATCTCCTGGTTTATTAGAAAATTCTCGAGGTCTCCGAACAGTTTATATAACAAATAATTTCGAGTCGTTGATGGCATTGAAATTAGTATGTGCACTTGTCCCACTTGGAACTCATCTGCCAAATGTACCTACATTTAAGTAATAACGGTCACAGCCCAGTTTTCAAACAACATACATTTTATCTCAAATATCAACACATTATCCCTCAAACAAACTATATACAAAAACCTTGTGCAGTAGAAATATATCCCCTCAACAGAGATATAAATCAATAAAAATTGACGATCATATTCCATTTACAGAAGGTTAACAACAGGACAATACAAAAAATCTATTCGAACAAGAAAACAATCTTCTTCAAATTATCCCAATATTTTTATTTTGTGAATAAACAGATGAAATTATACAGAATTTAATACATACGTATTCCAATAAATTGATGTTAGAAAACTCCAATCATGATTTTGTACAATAGAACTAATCCATAATAAATTTGAATAAATTCCAATGAAAGTAACCAATAGTGGGAGAAGATTAAATAAATGAGATATTATTCCTGTCGATTTATTAGGAAACTCCTGTTAACAATAAACGATATATATATATATATATACATACAAAGAAAAAGTGAAATGTATAGAAGAGGTTTACCATTGCATAAGGGATGTGGTCAACAATAAATGTTTATATAGAATTTTAAAATACTGCCGACTTGGACCAAAGCATGTATGTGCCTGGTCCTACGTTGCAACTCACTGACTGACTGATTGACTGCTAGTGAAACTATAAATAAAAACCTAAAACTAAATTGATTTGATTTAAAATACAGTGACCAGTGTAATGTAATTCATACTAGATTTGCTTTACGAACGACAAAACTTTTAGCCAGTGTTAGGTAATACTTGGCTTTTAAAAGCTAAGCTAGTATAAAGGATAAATAACATTTTATTGATAATTGTTCCCGGCGGAAGAAATGAGTAACTCACAATGACAATGATACGAAATAACATGAAACAAACCTTTACCGTTAAAACTCATAATCCATAGATGTTTCCATAGGTTTTGATATGAATTAAGGTCAAGCACGTCCACCATAACACTGAAAGTGCCTGAAGCTTTCGGAAATCTATTTCTTTCAATGAGAGGCGCTTCTGTGATTCATGTACAAAAGACTTGTCGCCATGTTGAATCGAGAGAAAATAATTAAACGCTGTTCCGCAAAACACGAACAAGAAAATCAGTAAGATGAATTTAAGAGCCTAGAACAGTAAATAATCAACTTAACTACAATCCAAACGATGAGAAGTCCCATCTACATCCGTCAGCTTCAAAACAGAGAAGACGACTTCGATAAATAATCAGATGATATGCTGATTTATCAATAAAATTTCCCCTACGATTTGAAGTTGTGCTTGTGATGTGTTAGATTTCGACTACGTTTATTGTTTCAGAAATTTGATTTGAGTTCACACTTCACGCTGTTTGCTCCATTTCGGTTTTCAAGTGACATTCGTACGCTTTTCTACTTCGACTTCTACTATTTAAAGTTTATCTGTTGGTGTTTTTACTCGTTCATTCCTGTTTTTTATATTTGCTGTTACGTAACAGAAAGTTAAGTTGAAGACTATGACTCCAACCTAATTTCAACTAGAACGCTGACTATATTCCCAAAAATTGTTTAAATAGCGAAAAAAACATTCTGCACAATTAAGGATTTGATAGGAAGGCACTTACAACACTTTTGAAGGCCGATTATTCACTCTTTTCACTTATCACAAACCTCTTACCTTCTCTTTAAATTCATCTACGGACATGAACTCACCTCGAAAGTCTTGGGGGCGGTTCAGAAAGAAACTGAAAGTATGGGATTATGTTTGTTATAAATTATAGTGCTTAAAACAGTATTATCATACACAAATGGCTGTCTTCCCAATTTGTCGAGGCTATTGGAGCCCTTTTTTAGGTTTCATAGGGTCTTGAGTAGGCTTCGATTTTTAGCGAATTGTCTAGTTTGCTTGTAATTGGACTACTGGTTGGGAAGTGAAACCAAGCCATCGTTCTAAACACGATTTATTGAGGTATTTTGCTTGATGAATCAGCATCAATACCATTAGTTCGTCACATATCTTCGAACCTCTTCGCTTCTGACTTTCGATCGCACTAGGTGGGCACGATTTGTAGTGGAAAGTGTTGCTGGATAAAGGCGCCAGTCATGTTCTTTCTTCGGAACCACGTGTGATGGCGAGGCCCAAGCGCTGTTAGATTGTCTTGTTGCCTTGTTAAACTCCATACACTTTTAGCATGTTCATGCTGTTCAACATCATTCGTGCAAGATTATCTTTGAAGGCATTTTTGCAATACTTCAGATCGTAGGATACCAACGCTTCTGCATCGTTTTCAACTTGGGATACCTTTAGAGTAGTGCTATCTAAGTTGTGGTTTTAATCTCCAACATGTCTCTGATGGAATGCTTGACACTTTGCAGTGTTAAATGTAAGTCTGTTGTCATCTGCCCAAATTTGAAGTCGAGTCAGATTCACCTCAGTGTCACTGAGAAAGTCCCGTATAGTTGCAAATGAAGCTCTCATCAATTCAGTGGGAACGGGTCTGTTGATGAAATCAAGAATCTGAACGACGAATTAAGCTTTTCAAATTGGAGGTGAATTTATCGATAAGCTTTATCTTGTACTAAGCCCTGCGCTTACCTATTCTATCTGTACATTTGTTGCTTACTTGTTTAAATTGCGCAAATGCTCTGTTGTTTCCATTTCGGTTGTATTCCCAACAGTAGTTCCTTATGCGGCTACGAAAACGGGGTTTGCGGTTTCCGATCACTGTGGGTTTGTTGTAGATTTTGAAGATCAATAACAGAACAGAATGCTTTGTAGCACATAAGATCGTGTGCAGCAAGAAATCTCAATGTATACATGGAACCTCCAGATAATGTGTGAGACCGAGAAGATCAGTCAAATAACAACGGATATGAGGACATTCAACATGGCGGTGTTCGGAATCAGTGAAACCCGTTAGACTCTAGCTAGACAGCAAATACTGGATACGGGTGAGATATTGTTGTACTCCAGTCTTGAACACGAAAATGCTCTACACAATCCGAGAGTTCTTCTGCTGCTGTCCAGAGAAGCACGAAATGCACTTGTAGGCTGGGAATCTGACAAATCGAGAATCATCAAAGCATACTTCAAAACAAAGAAGGAGAGATCACAAAGAATGTTATGCAGAATTGTGCAGCTTCAAATCATGAGCTGGAGGTGGACAAGATGAAACTGAAGCTGAGGAACCACTGAACAACCGAGAGAACAGCATTACAAACGTTCAATACACCTTTCCTTCGAGATGCTGACATATTCAACCAATTCAAAATACCTCTCAACGATAGGTTCCAAGCCTTAAAGGATCTACTGAAGGAAGAAATAACTACAATGGAGGAAAACTGGAACTCATACAACGGACTACAGTGGAAAAATCCGAATGAACCAGAATCACACAAGGCTATCTGTCCACTTCGCCTTACTCTTAATTACTTACTCTTCAGTGTGTTTAAACTACCATAAATCAGATATCTCATCAATAGGACTCTTGTTGGTGGATTCAATCATTCAAACTGATCACGAGTACAACAATTAGTGATGTTGTGCAAAAATCAGTTTGAGTTATCAAAGCACATGAACCGTCAAATTTTAATTGATGTTCACCAGTTATTTTCTGTCACATACTGTGGACCATTGTATATTCCAGACTATCTCGATTATCATATTCGTATGATGATGAAATTCGAACGGATTGTCTCACTTAAACATCCAATCAACGAACGATCAGGAACAGTCTCCTAGTACAACATCATTTATTCACACTAGAAAACCTAGACAAACACAGTGAAGTTAATTTGGAATTAATGACAAAAGAATATCAATTTTGCGTACAAGATAAAGCTCATCGATAAATTCGCCTCGAATCTGAGAAGCTTAATCCGTCTCTCAGATGCTTTGCAACAAGCCGAAACCACACTTTTTCAACTGCTTCATCCGAATGGTCCGACTAACAACGAAGGTGATGCCGCTCAACTTCTGGCAGAACACTACTCTCGATTTCGTCAATAGACCCATACCAACTGTACTGACCAATGCTCCACTTGCAACTATACAGCACTCTCACAACTGACACTCAGCTTAATCTCACTCTGATTAGAATAGTGAAATCAGGAAGAAATGCCACAAGAAAATCTTATTGCATATGAAGATGAATATTACGTTGCGATCAATTCGTACCAGTGAGAATAGGAGAATGTAGGGCTCAGTACAAGATAAGCTCATCGATAAATTCGCCTCGAATCTGAGAAGCTTAATCCGTCTCTCAGATGCTTTGCAACAAGCCGAAACCACACTTTTTCAACTGCTTCATCCGAATGGTCCGACTAACAACGAAGGTGATGCCGCTCAACTTCTGGCAGAACACTACTCTCGATTTCGTCAATAGACCCATACCAACTGTACTGACCAAAGCTCCACTTGCAACTATACAGCACTCTCACAACTGACACTCAGCTTAATCTCACTCTGATTAGAATAGTGAAATCAGGAAGAAATGCGAGAAGAAAATCTTATTGCATATGAAGATGAATATTACGTTCCGATCAAATCGTACCAGTGGGAATAGGAGAATGCAGTGCTCAGTACAAGATGAAGCTTATGGATAAATTCGCCTCGAATCTGAGAAGCTTAATCCGTCTCTCAGATGCTTTGCAACAAGCCGAAACCACACTTTTTCAACTGCTTCATCCGAATGGTCCGACTAACAACGAAGGTGATGCCGCTCAACTTCTGGCAGAACACTACTCTCGATTTCGTCAATAGACCCATACCAACTGTACTGACCAAAGCTCCACTTGCAACTATACAGCACTCTCACAACTGACACTCAGCTTAATCTCACTCTGATTAGAATAGTGAAATCAGGAAGAAATGCGAGAAGAAAATCTTATTGCATATGAAGATGAATATTACGTTCCGATCAAATCGTACCAGTGAGAATAGGAGAATGCAGTGCTCAGTACAAGATGAAGCTTATGGATAAATTCGCCTCGAATCTGAGAAGCTTAATCCGTCTCTCAGATGCTTTGCAACAAGCCGAAACCACAGTTTTTTCAACTGCTTCATCCGAATGGTCCGACTAACAACGAAGGTGATGCCGCTCAACTTCTGGCAGAACACTACTCTCGATTTCGTCAATAGACCCATACCAACTGTACTGACCAAAGCTCCACTTGCAACTATACAGCACTCTCACAACTGACACTCAGCTTAATCTCACTCTGATTAGAATAGTGAAATCAGGAAGAAATGCGAGAAGAAAATATCATTGCATATGAAGATGAATATTACTTTCCGATCAGATCGTACCAGTGAGAATAGGAGAATGCAGGGCTCAGTACAAGATTATGGGATAAATTCGCCTCGAATCTGAGAAGCTTAATCCGTCTCTCAGATGCTTTGCAACAAGCCGAAACCACACTTTTTCAACTGCTTCATCCGAATGGTCCGACTAACAACGAAGGTGATGC